GTTTTTGCTGCATTTCTGGAAGCTAGTGGAGTGGTTAAGGCATCAGGCTAGAAGAGATGTGAGTTTAGTTGTGCCCTAGGCACAAGTCAGCTGGGTGACTTTGGGCCAGTCACTCTCTCAGCCCTAAGAAGGAGGCAATGGGAAGCCACTTCTGAATTGCAGGGAGTTGTCCAGGCAGTTGCCAGGAGTCAACACTGATTCAAAGGCCTATGCACGCACACACACAAAATCATAATATCCTGAGGGAGGAAGAGAGGAATATAAATTAAGTTAATTACCTTAATTTAGATGATGAAATAAAAAGTAATCAGTAAATTGAGCAAAGAAAATTAGGAAAACAAAGCATGATTCTTTATCAAGGGATTAATAACTAATAATTAATAACTAAATAACTTGCTTTGATTGATTCCCTAGGCCAGCTCCTCACTCTCCTGCCTGTCAGGAGAAATAATTATTGATACACCCACACACATATATATGGCATGGATGAGGCCTTCTCTTGGTGGTAGACCATAAAAAGAATTTTTCTTCCTGAGGATTACAGTTGATACCTGAAAAGCAGGTATTCAAACCTGCAGGTATTCAGTGATAATGTTGCAGGGAACTTCATGATCTTTCACTTTCACAAAGAACTTTCAGATCACAGGCTATATAATATAGCAATAGGACCACAAACAAAAGCACAATTTTTTAAGAGAAGTTCTTTCCATCTCCCTGCCCCAAGTTTTAGTGCAAGATTATCTCTATTGTTGGAAGAACACTAATCATCAATATTTCAAAGAGAAGTTGTGCAGTTCATTGTTTTTAAACCTTGGCAACTTTAAAATGTATGCACTTCAATGGCCAGAACTCCCCTCCCCAGCATGCTGGCTAGGGAATTCTGGGAGTTAACTGCACATCTTAAAGTTGCCAAGACTGAAAAACACTGGTGTAGATGGATTCCTGAGAAAACTCATAAGCCAATGACCAAAACTTCCTCTGAAGCACCCATTTAAGATTTTTGGGTTAGCAAAATTCAGAAGCACTACTGACAAATTCCCCAAATGCTAATCAAATGTCCCAAAAGGATACTATGATCTACATTCTCTGACAAGTAATCAACTAGGACAATTAATGCTATTTTCCTTCCTAAAAGTCTTTGAATCAAGATGTAGAAATCCCAATAATGTGTATAGTTCAAGAAAATCTATAGGTGTATAGTTTTCATTTATTTTAAAGGGAAGGTTGCCAATATTGGGTTCACACAACATTCCAAGATGGACCATGGTTTGTTTCACTTTGGCTTGTTGGATTATATGGACCCAACCATTGCATTTTGCAAATTATAATTAATGGTTTTGCATACTATGTAAACACCGTCACCTGTGATTCTCACGCTGAGATTCCCAGATATTCCTTCTAGATCAGGGGTGTCAAACTGTCGGCCCACTAGCAGTACATATTCAAAAACACAACCAAGAGTAAATAATAAAATACAGGTAGTCCTTGACTTACAAGCACAATTTAGCCTAAAATTTCTGTTGTTAAGTGATACATTTGTTAAGTGATTTTGCCTCATTTTACCACCTTTCTTGCCAGTTATTAAGTGAATCACTGCAGTCAATAAGTTAGTAACCCAGATGTTAAGTGACTCTGGCCTCCCCATTGAATTTGCTTGTCAAAAAGTTGAAAAAGTTAATCACATGACCAGGGAACACAGCAGTGGTCATAAGTATGAACCAGTTGCCAAGCCTCTGAATTTTGATCACATGATCATGGGGATGCTACAAAAATTGTAACTATGAAAAATGGTCATAAGTCACTTTTTTCAGTGCCATTGTTAACTCTGAACGGCCACTCAATAAACTGTTGTAAGTTGAGGACTATCTGTACACAGCACACAGAATATCTGGGCAGGTTCACAAGCTTGTTTAAAAAGAAATGTTTCAATCACTTCCCTAAAACACAAGCAGTGAAGGAGCTGTGCATCTCTCAGGAGAAGGAATGGCCTTCCTGTGCGTTGTAACTGCAAGATAATCTGAAGAGACAGCAAGAATGGTATTTATCATAGTGATAAAAACAATACTTTAGGAAATATTAGTTCTGCCCAGTCACACCTTAAACAAGTTGTGATCAATCTGTTTAAGATCTTGCTGGATAGAACTAGCATTCAAATTGTGCCTCCCCCCCCCCACAAAAAAATGGCAGTCAGAGCCATTTGTACAAAAGAGAGATGAACATAAATTCTGTCTATCATCTTTGCAAGGTATCTGTATAATTATAAACAAAATAAAGCTGTTGTTTTCCCTTGTGACTGCAGATTTTCTAGACAGAAACTCTTGCCCAGTTCCTGAGCAAAAAAAAGCAATTTCTTTCCCCACCTCCCGTGGAGATTTCGTTTCCTGTTCCTGAAGTTCAGCTGCTTCAATGTGCATTGTTTAGACCTCATCTTCCCAATCCCCCAATCCAAAAGCTGCTAGTTGCAAAATTGCTGACAGATCAGCATTTCACCTTTGTAAATTCAAAGGGATTTTTCAATAGAACAAAGGAATGGTGACAACGGGAAGCATTTGAAAAAATTCAGTCCTTTGTTTATTTTTATATTATTCAAAGTTTGCATTGCCCCAATGAGTCTGGGGGATTCACAAGAAAGCATGGGAACTATAAAGCAGTAAAACAATACAGCAAAAAGGAAGACCAAAAATGGCAAAATCAAGCTGCAGCAAACACATACCTCTTCCTTGAAAGGGGCTACACCCATCCTAGCCAAAGAGCAAGGAATTTGAGGCCTTTCGGAATGCTAGTAGGGTGAGATCCACCAAGATCTCAGATGGGGGGAACCTCATTGCAGAAGACAGCTGCTATGACAGGGAAGGTAAATTTCAGGGGTCCAATAGGTGGCATGATCAAGTGAAGGAACCCAGAGCACATCAACCCTGCCAGATCAAAGCAGCCAAGCATATAGAGAGATAGGCGGGCCTTATGCCATGTAAGACTTTATAGATAGCAACTAGCACCTTGAATTACATTTGGAAGAAAACCGCCCAGCCCTTGCAATCTGGACCAGTTAAAACTTCTGGGTGATCTTCAAGGGAAGCTCCATGTAGAATGCATTGCAATAGTCACATTTGAGATGACCAGGGCATGAGTGACTCTCTGAAGGGCCTCCTGACCTAGGAACTGGTACACTAGATAAAGTTGTACAAAGGTCTTCTAGGTCACAGCTACCACCTGTCATCAAGCAGGAGATATGAATCCAGGATGACCTCCAGATTGTGCACTGCTCTTGAATGGGGAGCTGCCATTTTATCATTGATATTCTTTGACATGTCAGCCCTTTGAGGTGGTCCAGACAAAGAGTACAAACCAAGGGTTCTAACACTACCTTTATTTTAAAGTAACAGAATCTTGCAAGTCTGAAAGTCTATCCCTCATGTCTCTACAGTTAAAAAAACCACCCTAGGGAGGGTTCCTTCTGAGATGTTTGCCTTGCCCCTATTTCTTCTGTAGGCTAAGCTGCCTCTTATCTGACATTGTCTCGCCTGCAACTTCTCCTCCTGTTCACAGGGATATTCTCACAGATCCGTCAGACATGTTGGGCAAAAATAACTTACTCAAAATGGGCAGTCTTCAATCTCCAAGAAGTAGAAGATCTGGAGATTCACTTCAATAAGTCTTGCTTTCAATTGCCAAAAGCAATTGAAAACAGACTTATTATAGAATACATTGCCAAACTCAGACAATATAGAATACACCTCCCACTATTGACTAGTATGCCCAATTCAATGGAACAGCATAAAGCCTCATCATTTCTTTACCGATGCTCATGGCAGAAGCATGGTGTTGGGAGGATGGAAATAACAAAATTTCTTTGGTACATGTATCATTAAATCATATGAACACGACACAGCTCATGTCACAAGAGACTCATGTTGCTTTTGTCAATTTGGTAAAAATTTAAAATCCTACAGATACTTCTGGTTCCTAGGACATTTTGGAGAAAATGGATTGTGATGTATGCTCCAAAAGGTGCTTTTAAAAGCTCAGTACATAATGCTTGTGTGCTGCTGATACTTTTGGTAAAGAAATTGGGCCAAGTTAAAGGCGGATTGGGTTCCAAGAGCATTTTGAATTGAGCCTTTGTATGTAATTTAAGAGGTCAATTCTTTATTAGAAGACGGAATATTTTTAATTGCAATTTTCAAAACATCAGAATAGCGGTTCTGGTATCATGGTGGATAGGATACTTGGTGAATAGCAGGGAAATTCTGAAAAGCTGAACCTAGTCAGAGTTTTACCTTAATGCAGGGGATAGATGGGGATCAGCTGATTAAGAGGGCTGTCTCCCTATTCTGACGGTAGCCCTCTTCAGCCTTTACAAAATAAGCTAAGAGGCCACAAAACCCCAAGGCTATAGCAGCCATACTGTAAAGAGTCTCTGAAGTTCTCAGTGATTCCTTTATTTGGAGCTTTTCTTTCAAAAGGACCATTGATGCCTTAGTCTGAAGGAACCTTCCTTGACACTCCAGGTACTACCCAGGATTTTGAACATGGGTGCATCCTATGCATCCTTTTCCAATCTCTGCACGTATAGATCCATTTCCTATCTCTGCCTATATATTTGCGAATCCAGGAATGCTATCCTGGGAGTAAAGCTTCTTAGAGAGAATCCAGACACGAAACAAACGTGCAACATTCTCAGCTGCTGAGATCCATGCTTATTTTTCTGACCGCTCTTTTCGCTGCTTGGTATCTAGACTGGGTTGTAAACTATTAGGGTGGGGACCTACCCCTTCGTAATCTGTCGAGGACTGTCCTCGCACACACGGATGGTACTAGGCACGTAAACACAACCTCCGTACCCTAGTCCAAAATACAAAGTATCGGCCGGGCCAAATAAGCACGTGAGTTTCGCACGTGGCTTCAGACGCTTCCCTCTGCCAGTCCTTAGCCACGGGTCCAAAAGAACAGGAGACGCGTCGCGGGCGCCGATTTCCATCTCAGGGTGTGCCCAAACTACGCCGCACCGGTGGGCAGGCGCATACTGGTGCCGCGCCCCGTGATGCGCGCGTCCTCGTCCGCAGGTGCTCTGCAGCGCGATCAGGTCGTGCGGATGGTGCGCGCTGTGCTGGTAGACGAGAGTGCGGTGTTTTCAAGCCCCGGCCAGACACGTGTGCGTGTGGAAGCAAGCTCCGGCACGCCGTCGTAGGCTATCTCTTCCTGCGGATCCGAGTTTGCGTCGGACCCGTCTCGGGTACTCCCTGCACCCTCCCGCAGGAGATGCTGAGCTGAGAGACGCCTTTCTTGGCGAGGCAGCAGCAGCGGCGGCGGCGCTTTCCTTCTTCATCTTAGCAACAGCGGCAGCCGCCGCCGCCGCCTCCTTCTCGAGCCCGGCGGATCTCGCTCCTCTGAGAGGCAGCAGGTAGCCGCCGGACGGAGTAACCATGGCCAAGAACCGCAAGGAGAGGAACAGCTGGGGTAGGTGATCAGAACCAGCCCCGGGAGTGGGAGGAGGCTGGCTCGGCATCTGGGCTGCTTCCATCCGCAGCTGGCGGAAGGCCTGGGAGCTGCTGGGCGCAGGACAGAGTCGGCCTTCCCCCGCCTCGGCCCGTTGCATGCTCCACCACGCCTTGTTTCCGCGCCGGGACACTGCCCGGGCTAGGCTAGAGGTGGCGAAGGGTCTCAGACGGCCCCGCCCATCGGCGCCCCCCCCTCCCCGGTCACGGCTGGGCTGGGCGGAGGAGATTGCTGTGCCTTCGGACCTAACGGATTAAGCTCCTCGCTTTCTTTTGCTCGCGAATCACCCTTCCTCTTTTCTTCTGCCCCTTGTGCTTGGTCCCCCCTCCGGGGGTGGAGGGTGGGAAGGGGAGCGGAAGGGAAACAATGGATCAAATGGTGAAGTGCAGCTCCCTCTCCGCTGCCTGCCTTGATCATTGTCCGCCCTCCTTCCAAACCGCTAGAAGGGGGGCGGATAGGGTGGGGTTTGCTCGCTTTGGTTTTGATGGGTCTGTTCCACCATGGGAGGGTCTTCGAGCGTACATTCGAAGATGCTTAGCAGAAAATTTCCCATTAGAGCAGCCTTCCTCAGTATGGAGACAGAAACCTCTTTGGGGATCATGGGAAGGATAGTCCCAGCACATCTGGAGGCACCAGTGAGAAAAAGGGGCATTTAGTCTTCTTGTTTACAAATGGGCACAGAATAATACAAATATGGCTGTTTATTATGCCAGTTGCCTTATGGGACTTGGAACCATTTCTCAAAACAGGAAATTGGAGAGCAAAACCTTACATTTAATTTGGATCAGGAAGCCAGTTTCCAACATCAGGAAGAATTTTTCTTTAGACTGCAGTTTTATATGAGGTGGGGAGAAAGAAGAGAATGAGTAGTTAATTTACTGGAAGTCTGCAAGGTGTGGTAGTTAAATGTGAGTGACAACCTATGCATTTTAGTTAATTTATATCCTGCCTCTCTTTGGAAATGCTAAAATGGCTAACAAGATAAAGGTAATTTTTAAAAGCTTCTCAGAACAATTGGGTTTTTTTTAAATATATGTACGTGATATCCAGTGGATAAAGGATAATTCAGAAGATAAGGATGAAATAGGATGGAAACATAGACTTTAGAAGTGGGATGAATTAAAAAAAAAGATTCTTAATGTCAAGAAAGATATACATAAATAGGATGGGCAACAGTAGAATCTGTGAAAATATTACCTGTGAATTGAGATTTAATCACTTCCTAAGTGAGTCAGCAATGTGACATGGTGGCAAAAAAGACTAACAATGTTAAGTTCCATTATTAGAATTTTCCAGTCATATCATATTAAGGTTTCTTTTTTAATAGATCCAGATATTATCTAGTGAACTGACACCCAATTTTACAGGTTAATAAAAATTCCTAGTGATACATAACATGTTATGTATATTATTATTATATATATTATTATTGTGATTTTTATTATTATTATTAATTATTTTATAAATTGCAAATGTTATTTTTAAAATATTTGTTAAATAATCCTATATTCAGTTCTGGGAAGTCGGGGGGGGGTGGGGTGGTTGGGGAGGGGGGGGTGGATTTTTATTTGTAAAACTTTTGAAAAATTTCAATAAAAAAAAAAAAAAATTCCTAGTGATTAGGAAAGAAATTCTATAGAGAAATATAAAAAGAGCTGAGGCACTCCCTATCCCCCTCCAACAGAAGAGGCTATTCTGCTTTTCATCTTTAATATGACTTGCTATGTTTTATAATGATTTTTAAATAATTATTTTGATTTTTGTACACTGCCCAGAGTTCCTTCTTGTGAGATGGACAGCCATATAAATGTGCTTAATAGGTAAAATAAATGAACTCATTTTCATTCTCTTCAAATATGTGGAAGACTACCCAGAAAGCAGAAACTTTTAGATTTAAGTATATAGATTCCTGTTGCACACTAAAGCTATGTTTGCAAGACACAATAAATCACACAGTACCAACTGTTATAACCTATTGTTTTGTGCAAATCCAACCCATATGTTTATCTGAAGGTTCCATGTATTATAGAAATCTGAAAAATTTATCATGGGCTAACCCAGTGGTGGTGAACTTTTAGAGACTGTGCCCATACTGCAACCTAAAACCCACTTATGTATTGCTGGGTGATGGGTGGGCGTGGCCCGCTGGGCGGGCAAGGCCGCTGCCACCCAGATCTATGCCTCCAGAGTGATTTCGCACCCCCCCCCACGGCCAAGAGAGAGCAAGAGTGCAGGTGCATGTGGAGAGGCCGAGGGGAGCAGCCTGACCCGGCCCCCCTGTGGGGCGATGGCATGCATGCCCACAGAGACGGCGCTGCATGCCGCCTGTGGCACCCATGCCATAGGTTCGCCACCACGGGGCTAACCTTTCATGTGAATCCAGCCTAAAAGAAATATGTTTCTTTAACTTGTTATAACATTGACTATCAAAGTCTTTCAGTAGTATGCAATAAAATTATAAAATCAGAATTAATAGCAGAGATATAAAATGAACAACAGTTTTAACATATGTTTGTTTCATTTGGCTTAGCAGAAGAAAAAGGCCCTGGCCTCAATCTGGGAAACCAAAAAGAATTCTGGATCTCTTGCAGAGGTTATCCCAATTGATATACCTGCTGTTTCTGGGCCAGCAAAGCCCCATTCACCATAGAATGATCTTCTATCTCTGGCATAGTGACCCTTGGTCATTAGACTTCTGTTTGGGTTAAGGCACCAGGCTAAAAACCAGGAGTTTTAGTCCCACCTTAGGCATGAAAGCTGTTTGGGTAACTTTGGGCCAATCATCGCTCAGTCTCCTCAAGAAGGATGTCAAATAAATTTGATAAATAATTTTTAATCCTGTTTTAGACATGAAAGTTTTTTGGGCCAGTCACTTTCTCTCAGCCCAAGGGGAAAAACAGGAGGAGAAAGCAATATTAGGAATGTTCATCATCTTAAGTTGTTTTTATAAAATAATAAAGGCAAGATATAAAATACATTCATGCATGCATGCATGCATTCACACATACATAAAGGGTTAATCCAATGTGTTACTTCAGGCATTGTGGGTTTTCTCATTATCTGAATTAGATTTTAGTATCACAGATAGCCCCCAGCCCTAAATTCCTTAATATCTCTCAGGGAATTTCATATGGAAAAGCACTGGAGAAAAATAAAGACATGGGAGATTCCATATATTTGTCTCTATTTCAAGGAGCATCTGTCTGCAAGCAACATAAGATGAAATTGACCAGAAATACAGGGTTACAATCAGAACCTTTCTCTATCTGAGTGATTGTGAACATCACCACTAAAAGATCAAGAAAAGCAAACCTGTTTCAGGTCCTCTTTTAGAATGACCAAAACAGGCTTAGCCCAATCTGAAGCCAGTTTGAAAATAATCAAGATAATCTGCCTCTCAGCTGCTTCCTCTAATTGAGAAGCCTCTCTCTCAACTGCCATGGAAAGTTAGAAACAAGCCTATAATTTTACCTCTCAGAGGGGACTCCAGTAATTATCTCCTTTAAGAAGGGAGGTGTCCTACAGTTATTAACAAAAGCAGATCTAATAATCTCATAACTTGGTACAAGCCAAGTTGGAAAAGATAAGAGATTGATAAATTCCATTCAACCACAGAATCAGTTACTTGCATTGGTTTCTTCTTGCTAAAAATCTTGAGGGACAGTTTGGATAGTCATCTGCTGGAAATACTCTGATTTTAGATTTCCCACTTGTGGTATTTTTATTTACAGTCATAGACTAGCTAGATATAATGTATACAAATGCAGCAAACAACCTTGAAAATTAAAACTAACTGTAGAATCAAAAATAAAATAGCAGCATCACCAAAGAGGAAAAGGTAGTTACATTAACTCCATAACGAAGAGCATAAAGCATTAATCTGAGCTGTATGAGTCTTCACCTCTGACCTCACCCCCATTACAGATGTAATTTATTATCTTAAACTTGCAACAGTACTTTAATTAGCAATCTGAACAAATTTAATATTTTAAAATAGGTCTCCTGTGCCTCCCAAGGCCATCTTGTAGCCCGCCAAGCAAGCTTTAGCTATGGAGTGTTTAACATTGGCTCAACAGTTTAATGGGAACAATTATTATTTTTAATTAACTGCATAATGGCCACCTACTCCAAAAGAACCTGCATGAGATATATACCTTATTTTTTTGGCTTTCCTGATGGAGCAGGCATTGCTTTATGTATCACTGTATATTTAAGCAGATGTATATCTTAGTTATGAATGGTCTCCTGGGCTTCTTGTTTTCGTTTCCCAGTCTAACCTAAAGCTCTGAAAGCCACTGGTGATATCCCACTGAAATATTAAACTAGGCCAGCCTATCTTAGTTCTCTAGGTTAGCCAGGGGTTGCTAAGAAATTGATTGAGATACAAATATATCACCGTGTTTGGCAATCACATAAAATTTCTTAATAAATAAATAAAAATAATAAAATCTTGGCTAGCAGGTGTTTGCCTGGAACCTGTAAATCATAACTGGCAACATTTTTACTCCCATGTCCTTATGTCATTGTGTTCATCACATTCTCAGCCCACGAGTGAGACAGTTTTCAGCCATCCTTAGCGTTACCAATACTTTTCCCCTTTATGCCCAGATGGCATCAGAGTGATATTTATTGCTCTTTCCAGAATATACTGCTGTTCTTCCAGTCACTGTTTAACCTAGTTTTGCTGCTGTCTTCCTAAAGAGTATACTGTTGTGCTGGTAGTCTATTAGAAATGCATAATATCACATGGCAGTCCTGAAAATGCTTTAATTCGCCTTCCTAATTTAGGAAAAACCAGAATGATGAAGTCAAGTCTGCTCTGTCCCGCCCTGTGCCTCCCAAACCATCCATACACAAATACATGCACATGTGCACACACATACACATACGTATACACATATGAATGTACAGTATGTATGTATGTAAAAAGGAAATAGGTGTGGCACCCTAAATGACTCAGC